GGGGCCGCGGAAAGCCCCGGCTGGGTGCGTGTAGTCTGGGAAGAGCGGGAGGTCCCACGAACGAACCCTCGGACCCCAGGCGGCTCCCCGCGTTCAGGCCTGCAGAGCGGAGTTCCCATCCCGGCCAGCGAGAGGCGACAGCCAGCCCCACGGCCGGGTCCCTTGCGAAGGACCCGAAGGACAGCAGGGGCAGGAGGACAGGATACCGCCCTCAGACGACGGGGCTCACAGGCTTCCTTACGACCCGGTCTCCCGTTTTCCAAAAATCCGCCACTGCTGGTGGGCGTGGCCTAGTGAGGAACTTCCGGGCGGCTGAGAACTGGAGGGGCGGGGCCGGAGTGAGGGGCGGGGCTGTGGAGGGGGCGGGGCCTGTGAGGCGCGGGCGTGAGCAGGCATCCCCTTCTCGGGGGCCCCGCCCAGACATTGATGAAATTGCCTGGAACTGAAACATTCCAGTGAGATCTGTGAATTGTATCAGTATAGATTTCCTGATTGTGATATTGGATTATAGTTATGTAAGACGTTTTATTTCTAACAACTACATGGGAAACTATAATTGCCTTAAAAGAAAGTCGTTTTTTGAAAAAGCAACTCAGGTTGGATACATAACAAAATCGTTTCTAATAAGCTATTTTAAAGTACATTTTTATGTGTGCCTCGTGCGTGTCCCCTGAAAGGTCCTTGAAGGCCAAAAAAAAAAAACCCAGTTCTGATTAATGTTTGTAATAGTAATAGTAGCTTGTAATTAGGCCAGGGCTTTGTTCATCCTATAAATGAATTTTCAATGAATTCCCAGGCCACAGTACAGTGTTAGGCTTTGGGAAGGCAAAGGCCCTTGACTTCAGGGAACTGGCAAAAGGACACAGAGAAGTGAACCCACAAATACAATACCATGTGTTCAGTGAAATGAGAGAAGGTGACAATGGGTTCATTAAGAGCATTCAAAGAGGGCTTCCTGGAGGAGGTGGAGATGTAGTTGATACCTGACAGAGGTGAGCTTACCTTGAATTCAATGAAGATTAAGCTTCTGGGGCCCTTTAAGGTCCTATGAGAGACCTATTTAGCAAAGTGTCACAGGAACATATGTCTTTATAAAATTAGAAAAATTAAGATACATATTTCTTATAAAAATAGGCGGAGGATTTTCATAAGCCCTTCACAAAAGAGGATATCCAAATAGCCAACAAACTGGAGGTGGTTTGGAGAGGATCAGGTCTCAGGCAGCTGCAGAACTGCAACAGTGTGGCACGCAGAATGCCTGTAAGGGTGCCCTGCTGGTCCAAATTCCAGCCCCTTCCCAGAGCCCAGGTCTTAGGCTTTTACCCTGAAGACTGTGGGAAAGTTTGCTGAGGACCACTTCCAAGCACAGTGACGAATGACTATCTCCACGGCGCAAGAAAAACACTTCTGAAGCCAGATGACCTTTAGGTATTTTAGACTTTTCCTATGGCCTGGTCCTATAGCCAAAATTCTACAGAAATCGATGAGTCAATTCAAATGAGAAAACTTGGTAAAGGGGTAAACTTTTAAATAGTAAATGACCTGGATGTTTTTGGTGAAATGCTTCAAAGACAAACAACAACCTTATCACCACATATAGTAAAACACATCTCTTTCATACGTGATTATTGGTGTTTCTATACCTGGAATATCACGAATATTTTATTTGCTGGATGTTTACATTTTAGAAAGAAAAACATTTTTTTTAAAGTGAATATTGGTGTTCCTGGCCAGGTGACAAGCCACCAACCAATATTTCTCTCCCCCACCCCTTCTCTCTCTCTCTTTCTCCCTCTCTCCCTCTCCCTCTCCCTCTCCCTCTCCCTCTCCCTCTCCTTCTCCCTCTCCCTCTCCTTTTCCCTCTCCCTCTCCCTTTCTTTCTCTAAAATCAATAAACATATCCTTGGGTGAGGATTAAAAAAAGTGAACATTCGTCATTTGTTGTTCCTAAGATTTTCATACTATAATATAACAAAATTTGTTCTTTTCTCATGAATTTCTAAATGAAGACAAGCAAGTACAGCCCTGGCTGAGTACTCAGATGGTTAGAGCATCATCCTAATGCACGAAATCTGTGAGTTCGCTCTCTGGGCACATATGAGTCAATGAATGCATAAAGGAGTGAAACAACAAATCAATGTTTCTCTCCCTTCTTCTCTAAAATCAATAAAAAGACAAGCAAGGCCCTAACCGGTTTGGCTCAGTGGATAGAGCATCGGCCTCCGGACTGAAGAGTCCCAGGTTCAATTCCGGTCAAGGGCATGTACAGGCACATCCCAAAAGAGGGTGTGCAGGAGGCAGCTAATCGATGTTTCTCTCTTATTGATGTTTCTAATTCTCTATCTCTCTCCCTTCCTCTCTGTAAAAAAATCAATAAAATATATTTTTTAAAAAGACAAGCAAGTACAAAAATGGGGAACAGGCTTTACTAATCAGATAATGTTGTTGTTTCTATAAATGAAAACATTATTTTATTTTTAACCTGTTAACCGGGGAGTTCCCTTTTTAATTATGCAACATACAACGGGTGCATACTCTTTCACTAGGATGTGTCAGTACATCACGCCCAGTGGACGTAATTTTATATTATTTTTTTATTTATACTTAATTAAAATAAATGAAATATATATATTTTCATTTATTTATATATAAAGCACAAAGGAAAATACAAAATTACAAACAAATAGAAAAGAATACCAACAAAAAAATGGAAACCGAATTTAAAAATTATAAATTTTACAAACAATTTTCAAGATTACAAAAAATATATATTTTTTAGTTCTATACACAATAAAAAATATAAAAAGTTAACAATTACAGAATAAACAAAAGCACACAAATAAAATAGAAATATTGAGTTTAAAAAATTGAAATATAGATGTAAAAATTCAAAACTCAACTTCCGTGTGATCTATTTTAAAACAATTGTTATACATAGTGCTACCTTACAATCTGGACACCAGTATGTAGATTCTTTCCTAACACCTTTTTTGTAGCAAACTCGGCATTTCCTGGATTTAGTTTTTCTTATATTGCTTTTCATTTGTTCTTTCAACTAAGTGTGATGGTTTAGATGTAGAGCTGCTTGTTGATGTCTTTGGGTGGGTTTTCACTATGTTGTTATCTACCAATTTCTCTACACACTCTATCAAAAAGTGTAATCTATCCAAATCACCTTTATCTTTTTTGTATATAATATATGCATTGAAGCAGCACATATCAATTAATCGTAGAAAATTTTTTTTATAAAATTTTTTTACCCTATTACGGGCAGCCGTGTAGGCCACCATAACTCCATCTCCCAAATCTACACCGCCCATATTCTTGTTATAATCCAGGACAACATTCGGTTTTTCTTGCCTTCTTCCTGTCTTTTTAATCATTGTCTTTCCGTCATTATGAATAGAACTGAGCATCAATAGGTCTTTTTTGTCCTTCCATTTTAAAACCCTGAGTTTGTCTTTGATTCTTACTATATGTTCATTTTTCTGTAATTTTTTTGTTTTTATTTCACTGGGGATTCTGACTCTGTTTATCCTCATTGTTCCAATAATGTCTCTATTGTTTTGACACAAGAGTTCAGCCAAATGAATTGACCTATAGAAATTATCTAAGTAAATCCTATACCCTTTATTCAGTAAGTCATGCGTTAACTCCAAAACAATTCTTGTTGATTGTTTTTCTTGTGGGTAGTTCGAACCATAATTTGTGTCCTTGCCTGTGTATAAAATTATATTTTGTACGTATCCAGATTGGCTTTCACTCAAAATAAACAACTTCATTCCAAATCTAGCTCTTTTTGTAGATATATATTGTTTCCAAGATAAATTCCCTTTCCATAATAAAAGAGATTCATCTACGCATATTTTTCGTTCACATACATAAAAACTTTTAAACTTTCCTAACAAATTATTGATGATTGGATCAATTTTATATGTTTTTCTATTATATAAAGGTTGGAGATTAAAAAATATAAGTAAATAATATATAATACAAAAATAGGTAGGTAAGTGAAAGTACGTACCCATCACTGCTCACCCAGAACATGCCCACCACTCTCAATAGCGAAATTATACTGATTCCCTCTGTGTCTTAAATTCATGTCGAGACATGTATGGATGACTAATACCTTTGTTGTTCGGAAATATACGTCTTGCCCGTTTCAGGGCACAACATATATTTCAAGGGCGTATTCATATGTCCTACCCGTACCTGATATTGTTTATGTTTGACATATTTATACGTCCCGCTCGGTTAACAGGTTAACACTAAACATGGGAGCTGTTTCTTAGCACACTTGGTTGAAAACATGAATGCTCAGTTGTGTATTAGACTGCCCCCTCTGGTATGTAAAGAGGATTTGATCATTATCTTCTTAAATTTTCTCCACTCTATAGCTTTGTGGTTGTACTTTTTAAAAATACTACATTACTTTATACCTCTTTTTTTTCTTTTTTTAAATATATATTTTATTGAATTTTTTTACAGAGAGGAAGAGAGAGGGATAGAGAGTTATAAACATCAATGAGAGAGAGTCATCGATCAGCTGCCTCTTGCGCACCCCTCACAGGGGATGTGCCTGCAACCAAGGTACATGCCCTTGACCGGAATCGAACCCGGGACCTTTCAGTCTGCAGGCTGACGCTCTGTCCACTGAGCCAAACCGGTTCCGGCATACTTTATACCTCTTAAATTGTTTAAAATGTGACCTAAAGAACATTGCACATGTTTTTTAAAAAAATGTGAAAATAATACAAACTAAAAGAATTATTTCTGCTGCAAGCATCTTAATGACAGGCCTATGATTTAATGTGGGACACTTTTCATGTGAAGAGCTTGGAAATAAAATTTCTGCTTCATACATCTAAAAAAGTGACCCCTATTCCTTTGGTTTGAATGTCAGATTTTCAAGGACAGCCCTTGTCTCAGTGTTCTCTCCTGTTGTTCCTGTAAACCGCGAGCTTGTCCTGGACGTGCTGATACTCCGGTATCCAATCTCCATGTCCCAGAGGAATGAGGAAGCCATTGTCTTTGCACTTGAGAGCTGGCTCCAGGTCGGAGTGGCAGGTGGCAGAGGCAGCTCGCTGGCCCCTAACGGATCTTCATCCCCTCCAGCCTTGAGAATCCCGCTCCGTGGCGACAACTCCGTGCAGGCGGCATTGTCCCTGCTGCCCACAGAGCTGCAATTCAGGGCCTGTGCTCAGCCCTGCCAAGCTCCCGGAGAGCTCTGGATCCTGCCCGAGTGGTCATCAGCTTCCAGTGCCAGCCGTGTGAAAAGAGGCCACTTTACATTTGATACAAAGCGTCAGCCGGTCTCATTCACGGCGCCCAGAACATGCTAAGCTCCGGACGCAGGGCTGGAAAGTGGCACTTGAACACAAACTCCCTTTCCTGCCTCCCCAGCAAGGCTTTCACAGGCTGAGATGTCAAGAGGTGTTGTTCTGGGGAACAGCTCGAGAAAAGCACCATTCTCCTCGCTCCTCCTCACCTGCCAAGAAGCCCGAGGCCGCAGGTGCCCCGCGGGGCGAGGAGATGCCGGAAATGTCAGCACATTTGCGCCGCTTGAGAAGTGACCTCTCTGTGCCAACTCCCAACCTTGGATGCCCCTCGGGGGGGCCTGGTTCTCGGGAGCAGCACCTGTCTGCCCAGGCTTCAAACCCCAGCTCCCGCCGGCCACACCGCACAGAGGCAGGTGACCCATGACCCTCGGAGCCCTGTCCTCCTCCGACAAAGCCCTGCTTGTCTCAGGAGGGTCTGCAGCCCCAGAAATAAGAGAAGCCGGAAGACTGACTATATTGCCCGAAGCGCTCTTTTCACCGAGGGGAAAATTCCGGTGGCGGTGGGAGAGGAAGCCCACAGGGCATCATCAGGGAGTCTCCACCCTGGCTGCAGTTTAGGATCAGCTGGAGGAATTTAGAACAGGCCACGCTGATTTCACTGGTCTGGTGTGGGGGATGGAAGGCAAGACTCCTCATTGAAGCCCGTGAAAATCCCTGGTCTGTTCCAACCCACTTACTTTACAGACAAGGAAAACTGATGTGTGACAGAAAGGGCTATTGAGAATGTCAATCTTGTTCACCCACCGGTTCACAGATGGGAAACTGAGGCCCAGAGAGATTAAGTGGGATCACCCAAGGCTCCATAGCTAGTAAGTAACATCTCTAAGTATTTGGGGCAGTTTGACCTTGGTCTCAAAATTGTCCTACTTGAATCATGTCTAGTTTTATTACCATAAAGCTCTGCTTTAAAGCCAACAAGGTTCCTACTGCGCAGGGAATAAAGTCAGTCTCCTTTCCATAACATGGTCTCCAGGGCCCCACCGCAGCCTGGCTTCACCCAGCTTTCCAAAGTACCACCTCTCTGCCCAGGCAGGGGCACCTATCCCCTGTCCCCTCGCCTGAGAAGGCCCCACATGGCTGTCACACCTCCTGGGACAGAGTCACAGGGTCAAGGAGACATGCTCACCTGGGAATGTTTCATGTTCACCTAGAGGTCTGTGCAGGCCTCTTCTTTAGGTCTTTCTAAAACAAAATAAAAAAAAAATGAGGGTTGAGAGTATGTTTGGAGCTTGGCACGCAGGTTGGGTGCCCTCACACGTGCATGCAGGTCTCCTCCCAGTGCGGGCTGGTGGGAAGGGCAGCGGACAGGCTCCAGCTGGGAGCTGGCTCCTGTATGCTCCAGGGAATCCAGGAATGTAGGCTCTGAGCTGCCTTCCAGGTTGTCAAGAAGGTATGCTTGTCAAGATGGAAAGATAGAGCATATTTAACTGTTTGATGTGTAAGTTTTAAATATTTAGATGTGGTATTAGGCCTCCACTGGTTCCCCCTTGCCCGGGCCCTGTACATGCTGAGGAGGTGAGCTGACTTCTGAGGGACACAGGGAAGGAGGGGTGGCAGCAGCTGTGGGCGGGTGAGAGGCCCAGCCGCCCAGTTGTGTGTGAGCTCAGCACTGGCGGCTCCTGGAGGGGCTGCAGGCTGTGCTCCTGGTGGAAAGAGCACACACAGTGCTGCTGTGACATGGACCCAGGACGTGGTGTTCCCCAGGTTCTGGTTGGTGAGCAGTTCTTACAAAGTCCTATTTTTAAATTCCGAGGTCTTTTTTTCAAAATAGGATTTCCATGGACTATATGAGTCCTAAGAACAGCACTGCTAGGTCATCAGACATCTCAGATATCTGATTTGCCTACGTAATTTCAGGTGTGTTTTTGAGAAGAGCTGCACCCATCCACCGTCACATCCGCTGGGCATGAGGGCTCCACTGCCTGTTTCTCTGCCAACACTTGACATTGTTCAGCTTTCGAACTCTTGCCAGATCACTGGTAGAAGTTATATTCTGATTCGCAAATTTTAAACATTTCTGTCTTAGACTGTTTAGGGTGCTGTAAGGAAATACTATAGTCTACTACCCTGTCTCCCCGAAAATAAGACCGTGTCATATTAATTTTTTCCCCAAAGTTGCGCTAGGTCTTATTTTCAGGGGATGTCTTATTTTTGGGGAAACACGGTAGGTGGCACCGTTCCCCCGCCGGGAATGCACTTCTCTTATCTCCTGATCATTTTTCAAGCTCCAGCAGCCTCTGACCTCCCGGCTTGGGCAAATGCCTCAGCCCATTACAGGCTTGTTCTCCATCTCTTAGCTCTTGGTGATCAATGAACCCCACTATGCTGCAGGTTGCCTGACCTCATTTTTGCTTTTGAGGAAGTCGAGATGCCTACCATTTCAGCAGCAACAGGAACACCTCACTGTGTGTTCTGGAGGCTGGAAGTCTGAGCTCAGGGTGCCAGCATGCCGTGGTTCTGGGGAGGGTCTTCTTCTGGGTTGCAGATGGCTGTTTTCTCCTTGTGTCCTCGAATGACAGAGGCACAAGCAAGTTCCCTGAGGTCCCTTTTATAAGGTGCTAAGCCATTTCAAGAGGGCTCTACCCTCCTCACCTGATTACCTCCCACAGGATCCACCTCCTAATATCACGTTGGGGGGATAGAATTTCAATGTGTGGGACGCCCCATGCAATTCATGATTACTGGTGATTTTGAGCAGCTCATCACATGTCTGTTGACTTCAATCAGCTCCAGAGCCTCATGCTGACTCATCAGCCAGCCCACCTCTCCTCACTGGGACGCCGAATAGTGGAGATCCCTGTGATAACGCAGCATATGCCCTTCCTGTGTATTCTCAATGCTTGGGGACCCCATCTCCTCCCTCCTTGCTCCCCTAGAGACCCGTTTTCTGGCCGCACTGATGGACATCCAAAGCCATTCCTCTCTCAGAGACTTTGGCTCCCACTGTCCCCTCTGCCTGGACCACTAACGTTTTCAAGGCTGCTTCCCTCCCTCCTCTGAGTTCCTTCTGTTCAAATGTCATTGACTCGGTGACATCTTCTCTTCGCTTTGTATCTAAAGTAGCTCTTTGACTATTTTCTCCTCTTCGTCTTCCTTCTTAGCCTCCCATCGCCTGGCATTCTCATTCCCGCTGCCTGTCACGGCATTCCTGCTGGCCTGTCCCTTAGTGTCTGTTTCTGAGGTGCCGCGTTAGCGAGAACTGTGCCCTCGCACCTGGAAGGGGGCCTGGCACGTGGTAAGCACTCAGGGATCAGTTGTTGAATAAACCATCATCAGTTCTTCCTCCCCAGACATAGTGTCGCTTAACTGCAAACATTTGGATATTTATCCATTTTTCTCAGGGTGGTTCTTAGATCGTTCGTGGGTTAGTGTGGGAAGAAGCATTGCAGAGGGACAGAACTAAATCGTGGACTAAGTGGGAGACTGAACAAGAACTAAATCGTGGACTAAGTGGGAGACTGAACAAGCTCTCCAGGGCATTCCTTAAACTGACCAGTCTATGCATTTCCAGATCTGGCTTTGGAGAAAAAAAAAAAATGGAAGCTTCTTCTAAATGTGAGATTATTTCCCACATTTCATATAGCACAATGGTTGTCTTGTGTTGATTCTACTGTCTTTAGTCCTAAATGTTTTTCTTATCTGCCAAAAATATCTTCCCATCAAAATTGATCATTTTTTATACTTAAAATTTTAGTTCAACACAAGGACAGAGAAGAAGAATAGCACTGGTCACAGTTGCACAAACTCTCCCTAAAAATCTTAATTCTACTTGGTTTCTCTGAAACGTGCAAAAAAAAAAAAAAAAAAAAAGTGGTTAGGAAACCCTGGGACTAGAATTTAGCCACAGCCGTGTCTTTAAAAAAAAAAAAGTCTGCTGGAGGTTGGAGTGCCAGTTGTATAGGGCTGCCCATTGTTCAAGAGAAAAAAAGTTTCAACCCCAGGGTGGAAAAACTAACACTGTCACTAGGATATGAAGAAACCATGGTGAAGAACTAGGATGGCGAGGCCCCGCATAATGGCTGGCGGCATCTGCTCCGAGGGCCTTTATCAGCAGCCTTGTATGTTCTATTCAAGACTCTCACAACGATTGTTGGCATGATGTAGACAAATTGACGCAAATTAGTTTAGCACGGGCTGTGCAAAGTTTAAGCTTGTTGAGCAACACACGTGGACCACATAGCAACAGCTCCCAACACAGATGCAAAAAGGTGCTGGGTGCAAAATACAGCTTCCCAGCTCCCCCTCCTCCAGATGGGGAGCTGGACTCACAAATCACTGTGGAGGCTGGGGCGGGGGCAGGCAGCAGAGGCCAGAGCCCCCGCCCTCACCTTGAAGGCCAGTGACAGTTGAGAGAAAAAGATCTCCTGAAAGTGCCGCCTGTGCTAACACCAAAGGCCTGGTTATTTCATGGCCAGAGATCCTCAAAGGATCGGCCCCGAAGATTAAGGGGATTCCGCCACTTTGCTCTTTACTTTTGGTTCAAGTATCTGAAGGCAATTTCTTGGGGGCTGGTGTCACACAGACCACCTAGAGGGGCGTTCTAATTGTATTTACAGTAATTTAATTACAACGGGGAGTGAGAGCTTCAGAAGGCAGGATTTACCCGGATCGACACTCTAGGTGCCGCTGGCAGAGTTTTAATCTGTTAAATCAACAGAGAAGTGGTAAAAATAAAGCCACTCCAGAGTTTGGAAACCACTTCATGAGCTTTTTTTTTTTTTGGGGGAGGGGGGTGTGGAGGGAGGTTGGGAGGGTGAAGGAGACATTTTCCTGAGGTCCACGGCTTTCCCACTTTTGTTTATATTACTTTATACTGCATGCGTACATTATATCCATCTGATCACACACAGACTGAGGTGCATTCACAACACCCAAACTCTGTGTGTGTGTTTGATTACATATATCTCTGGGTAGTTAGTGAAGAACTTGGCAGCAGCGGGGCTACTGGGGAGGACACCTAGGAAAGGGCATAAGGGGTCAGGGTAGGAGGCAGATTTACTTTT